ATCCACATTGATCAAAGCTTGAACTATATCCTTAAAGACAGTATAATTTTCTATGGAATGCCCTTTAACTCTATCATGAAATTCATATTTAGCATTAAGATCATACCACTTTGGGTATGAAGGCTTTCTGGGTCTTACAGGAACAACAGAGATAATATGATTCTTAACTAGTAACATAAAAAGCTCAGCGTAAGGTATTGGAAGTGAATGATATACTTTGACTTTTTTTCTTTTACAGCTTCGTGAATGGCTTGAGTTGATCCTTGGTTCTATAATTATTTATGGTGAACGAATTGAAGCACACAGATGAAATGGTTAGGGAAAATCATCGATCTGAAATATTGGTTGGGGATAATATGGTGACTATTGTAAATAGTCGTCTATTAAATCTTCTTGTATCATAGTGAAGTTTCTCTCATTTTGCCCTTTAACAATTGTTTCTTGGGCTTGTTTAGCAAAAATATCTCCCTTTATTTCATCACTAACATCTATAATTCTTTCTCTTTTTATCCCATCCTTAATTTTACCCACAGCAAACAATAAATCTACAAACCTTGACGAAGTATTGCTAATCAACTTATCATAATAGGGAGAATGAAGGTTATCCACAAACAGGGAATTCAAATCCTTATTGGTAAAAGGTGGTTGCACTCGTGATGCCATTTCTTTCCATCTCACAGTATATTCTTTATAGCTCTCATTAGGCTTTTTCTCATATTTTGAAAGGTTAATCGGTCTAAAGCTAACTCTAATATGTACTAGTATTGCTTCAAGAATGCCTATGATAAATCCCTCCAAGTATGAATTTGACTACTTTTTAAACTATAATATCAATTAGCTACTGCCATAGTCAAACTTTCTTGAAATACATGAATAAGCAGGTTTTCGTCACCATTATACCCAACCATTTTGTGACAATATTAAGCCAAATGTATTTTAGGACATCCAGTTCCATTATACTTTTCAAACATCAAAACTTTGAACTTGAGCAGAATAACCACATTTGGAACTAGTTGAAATTCCTTTAAATCATAAGATTCATCCTTACCCTCAATAGCTCAAACTCTTTCTTCCAAGAGATTGTACTTTTTCTGTTCATTCAGATTCTCTGATTTTTTCCTTATGAGTTCTAAGCCAGGTTCTTTGGGATGATTATTTCCTTAAGCACACTATCCATTAATAATCTTCTCTATCTCTCCTAAACCGATCAATATTCCTCAGATTCTCAAAAGAAATCACAAAGATTATTTTTGAAAAAATTCTTTCTTTTAGAGCACATGAGAATTGCATTATATTGAATGAATATATAAATGGATGAATGAATGAATGAATGAATGCACAAATGAATGAATGAATGAATGACCGAATGCATGACTGCCAAAACTCTTTAATGAAAATTATGAAAATTGGCAAAAAGGCAAAAATGAAAGATGAACCATAATTCACATATCTAAGTTTAACAAACAATGTCATGTCAACATAAAAAAATTTCAAATAGAAAAAATTCATAAGGCATTTTATTTTTCAAATAGCCTATCACTTAAAGCCCTCTTTAAATAAAAGTCCCATCCATGTTTATCATTTTGCAATCCTTTTCCCATTATTCCTAGGTCTTTTAATCTTTTATTGTAGTTGGATCGAACCATTTTGCATTTATGAATGATTTTACCTTATGCTTGAAACTTTCACAATTCTCTATGGAATGTCTTATATTCCTACTATGGTATTCACATCTTACATTTAGGTCAAATTATTTTGGGTACGGAAGCTTTAAAGGCTATAGAGGCATAAGAACAATAAGGTGTCTCTCAAACATATAGGAAAGAAAAAGAAAAAAAAATTATGAAATGGGAGAATATCTCACTATTTCTTTTTCTTGGGTAACTTTTGGGTAACAAATTGATCAGGAGTCTTAGGATTTGATAGTGGTGCAAAAGTTCAGACTTGAGCAATTGGCTAAATAGGTGGTTGGGGAATGAAAGGCTGAAGATTTTAGTTCAGATATGGACTTCTTGGAAATTGTATGAAATTTGAGGGCCTGATCATAGATGTTTGGGAAAGTGCCAAAAACAGTCATGGGAAGGATTTGAATGCAAGTTTAAGCTTGAAACAATTAGTGAAGGCTGCATGAAACCTAGTAACCTCATCTTGAAAATTAAATTTTAGAGCTCAAACACTTGAATAGTAGATCACTCATCCCTTTCATGATATTGTCAAGACTTTCATTATTGCCCAAACCATAGAATGATTCAGCATGGTTTGAAAGTTTACCAAGCCTAATGGGAATCAGTTAATCATGACTCCATGAATTCATAAGACTCACTTGAGCTAAAGTTGGTAAGGATTTTTAAGAAGGTGTCAAAGTAAATTTTTTTAGTCTATTCACAATCATTGTAAACTCAGCGAGTTGTTTTGTTACCTCTGGAATGTCATGACCAAACTCTTCTTGATTTCATTCTAATGCACTAATTCGAGCTTCCAATTGATCTTTCATATTTTTAGCTTTTTATACTCACTAACAAAAATATTATTTCAAAGGTTTAACACCAACAATACTTATGCTATTATTCTTGCTGAATGAATGACACAATTCCTAATTTACATGTGATATGTCTATCAATGCTTGAATATGATAATGATACAAAGATATATACAAAAATGGAAAAACCCAAAAATATACAAACCAACCTAATGATGAATGGAATGACTAAATTCCAAAAGGAAAACAAACTTCTTACTTATTCTAAATCCTTTTTTATTTGCTTTTTTCTTTTTTTTTTCATCTTTTTTTGTTTATCCTAACTTTATTTACACTACACTATTATTACCCTTAAACACAAACTGTATCAAAGTGCCCCACCTATCCTAATTTAGATAATTTCTATAAAAGAAAAAAAAGGCATGGCTTTGGATTTCTAATGATTTTTACAAAAGGTTGACATCACCAATGGCTCCATGAGAACCTTTTTTTTTCACCTTTCTTTTTTTTTTTTCAATAACTGACCTAAAATAAATACCACATCTTAAAATATAATGCACACAATCAAAGAATATATAAAAAAATAAAATGACTCAAGAATTTAAAACAAACAAGTAAAAGAAATAATATGACAACCATACAACAAAATAATATAATGTATAATGTCCTAACTTTTGGTAATTTTCTAAAAAGGTGGCATGGCTCTATCCTAGGCAGGCTTCCTATAGCTCTCAATATGTTAGGTTGGGATATATTTATCTAAGTTCCCAGACTATTCCTTACATCATCATTTATTATAGACTAGTAAGGCTCCCCGATCCCCACCCATTATAGGCTACAACAGAAAGGGTTCAATCTGAGTGAGAGTGTTTCACTAGCAAATGTGGAGGTTATCATCTCATGATAGTGTAGCTACTTCACTTCCTCCTAAAAGGATGGAGCCTTGGTCTAGAGCTCATGTATGTAAACATATGCAAAAGTGTGCAAACTGACATATTAATCAAAATATCATAAATAAATCATAAGCACAAAATTAAAACAAAATAATAACTAACATACAATTTATTTTATTTATTAACTTGTATATATTTTTTTGAAAAATTAAAATAAAGGGAATTAAATTAAATATCAAATAAAACTAATTAAATCCAACAATTATTAATAGCGCATAATTAAAATTTTGGTCTGACTTTCAAACATCTCTAGTGGAGTCACCAAGCTGTTGGAATGATTTTGGGACCGTCAGATGTAAAGGATTTTAAAATAAAAAAATAAAAAAAGTCACCACCAATTTTTTTTAGGGTGTGATTGATCATCCAAAAGTTTATCTTTTTAATAAAACTATAAAACAGGTTTATAGTTTAGCAAAAAGATAAATTTTGATATACAAAAAATCAAGTTGGGCTCGGGAGTTGATTACGCATGGGGAAGGATTAGCACCACCACAATGCCCATAAATTGGTACCATTTAATCATACACTATTTTGGTGTTGAATGAAATGGTTTTGGTTTGAAATTTAATAATAATTCCCTTTTGCTATTTTTAAAAAAAATTAATTTTATCAAAATTCTTTATTTAGGAGTATCAAGGAAATCTTTAAATTAAAGAATTATCTTAAAATTCTCCAACATCTAGGTAGAACTTTAAAGATAATGCTTTTAACTGACATTTACCACAACATCCCTTGAAAATGAAAATAACATTCTTTGGGAAGGAAAATTGTTGATAACTTTCCAACATCTAGGCAGAATATCAAGAACTGTTCCGTTCAAGATGTTATTTTTGTTTTATTTTATAACTTTACTTTTTTAAAGTAGGTAAAAGAACATTTTGTGCAAAAAAAAAGTAAATGGTGATACTATCAAGTAGCAAATAAATATGCAGAATGAGTGCAAACAATAGCAAATAAACGTCTTTAAGCTAATATATGCTATATATAATAATGAAATATAAATTTAAAAATAGATTCTTAAATACAACGAAATCACCTTAACTCTCCAATATCTAAGCGAAACTTAGGTATGACTATTCATATTTGAGATCCTGTTTTATACATATTTTTTATTATTAATCAATTATTAACCCCATTGTTAAAGTGAATTAAGGACAAGCATGAAAAACTTAATGAAATAAAGTTTCTTAAATACTCCAATGTTAATATTTTTTATTATTTAATTGATTATTCAATATTATATTTTTATGTTCTTCTAAAAATCCAATATTATAGTTATATTCAATTCTTTTTTGCTTTCAATCCATATCTAATATCTCTTTTTTTTTTTTTCTATTTTACATTTGCTTTAAACATTTGATCAAGATAATAATAGTAAAATTTAATTTTCTTATGATATGTTAATTGAAAATATATTTATATTTTATATATGTCATAAAATTTTAAAGACTTGCATATAATTGAAGAAAAAAATTCAAATTTTGCTCTGTAAACACATATTTAAATAAGTAAAATAATCATGCATCCCATGGGTCAAAAACTAGTTAGTTCATCTAAAATAATAATCATTCATTGACACCATACATAAATGTAATTAATTGATTAATTTATCAAAGAGCTATATATATAGGAAAGAAGCAAGAGATGATACTAATTAATCTCGGTCGTGAATCGGTTTGGAAGATAAGAGCCATTTGGTGAAGTTGTGGAGAGTATGAGCATCGGCTCTGTAGTATTTTTGGGTGAAAAGGTGGAAATCCGACCACGTGAAGTCTGGGTAAGCTCGGGTCACTTCACCGTGCACAAGGTCCTCCGGGGGTCTCACTACCTTGTCTTCTCGTGGGCAAAGAAAGAATACCAATGATCTTCTGGCCCTCTCGCTGTTGACTACTGCCCTATGCAGGCAACTCTTGTATTTCCCATTTGATAATGCCTGCAGCCACCATCCAACATAACTAATCAGTTCCTAGCCATAGCTATATCTATTTGCATGAGTGCAAGGTCTTACACCGAAAAACATGACATCAACATAAATTAACATGTCCACTCAAATTCACAAAACAGGAGATATTACTATTAAATAAACATATATGGCCACCACAGCAGTCTTCCCTTGTCAACTTGGGCAAGAAATATCCTAGCTTGAACTATTTGTTTATTGCTTAGTTGTCAACAATATCACTAATGCATCCTATATTTCCCACCATTGCATATAATTCCTCGTCAGTGTGGCCACAAAAAACAATTTATTGTACTTTTGGCTAGTTTCTTCCGTGTTTGATCCTGCCAACCTCTAAGATGCGGAATTGTTAGAAAATGACAGACAATTAATAAATATACTTTATTGATCATTAAATCCTAAACCAACTAAAACACCTCAGAATTTTTATTCATGAACTTGTATAAAACCCACGAGTTAATTTAAGACATATATAAAACCTCAAAAAGCATTTTTTTATTGAATAAAAAAAAAAACTTCAGATGTCAGTCCTCAAGCATACGAGAGTTTATATTTGATACATTATCAATATATAAACTTTATACACTCTCAATGTAAATCAAATTATACTAATTCATTAATAAAAAAAATTTCAACCCTCAAAATAAAGGTACAAAAACTTACTATATTTTAAAAAAACTTACTCGTTAATGAGGTGATATCATTTGATTAATTTTATTAATGATATGACATCATCTGATTTACAAAAAATATATAAAATTTATATACTAACAATATATCAAATATAAACTCTATATAAAAATTGATTTAACATAGTCTTGACTTGGTTAAAAGACAACATATACTGATAAAAAATATATAATTCCTCGAATCAAGATGGAAAATGTATGTATGAACAATACATATACTAAAATAGAAGTCCTTGACAAACAGAATGATTTCGACAGACGCTATAATTATCTCTCTTATGCTTGAGGAAGGTTTTTTTTCTTTAACCTTCGGCCCAGAATCATCTATAATCAAAAGCCTAATCTCAATGGCAACAATTCATATGTGTAAGTTTGCAACAAATTAATATTTTAGGGGCTCTTACTAGCAAGGATAAACCCATGTCTAAACTATCCCAATTCAAGTACCAAGTACTTAAACAATCTTTGAGTATTCATGCAACCAGACTAGTGTAGGAATACGAAATTATTAGGACAAGAGATATATAAACCGTTTACCAACTGGCAAACTTGGCTTCTCAACTAATTGATATATTATCAGCAAATCAACTAATGAAAGGTTCCTACGATAATGACTTAATAATATCTATCAATGTACCCAAAAAATGGCCAAACCATTTAAAGGATCATACGATCATGGGACAGATTACGCAGTCGGGTATGGAGTATAAAAGTTTGTCTTGTAATGATAGTGTCTCACAATAGTAAAGGAAAAAACAAGTTGAAAATCTCAACTTATTCATGGAAAGTGTGGAAACCCACCGTGAAGGTCTCACCAATGTTGATTACTAGGGCAGCATGACGAGGTCGAACAATCTGCCATTTGTTGTTTGCAAAGATTTCCAAACCTCCAACTTCGTCTTGGTGAAGAATGGTTAGAGATGTGGAGTCACAATGAGGTCCAGTGCCAAATGTGAGACCTGGCTCAGGGCATGGAGGATAATAGTTACATCTCATTATAGATCGACCATCCTGAAAAAACTTTTTATAATGCAGTCGATCAACTCCCAAGCTTATTGCCAATATTTCCATCACTACTAGTGCTAAGCTCTTCATTCCTTCACAATACTTTTCATAGATCATGCTACAAAATGGAGAAACTTTGTTGAGCAAAAATTTGTTGTTTGTATGTTAATAAACACAAATTAGGGTTAGGGTAAGTGGGTAACTATAAAGTAAGTGCAAATTTTCATTAGAATTCTTACCCCATCTCTTCAAAATCATCCCCTAAACTGGATTTGAACAAATCTACCACACTGGATTCCTTCAGATTCTCTTCGAACCAGAAAGTTAAGGTCTCCTTCCATGGCAAATTTGAAGCGAAACGATCAGCATGTGCACCAGAATAGCTCAAGGTGTTTAATCCAGCAGTGCTTGTCTTTCGAGCCCTTAATTTCTGGCCAACAGGTAATTGAAAGAAACGATTCAGGTAATCATATGCAGCACTAATGAGCTGTGAATCAACCCCATGATTTATCACTTGAAAGCAACCATGGCTTAAGCAAGCAGCCCTAATGACTTCGGCAGCTTGTTGAATTGCCAATTCATCACCCCTAAAAAACCCTTCAAGATCTACAAGTGGCTCGAAAAGCTCTTGATGGGCATTAACTAAATCAACTTTGGGCCAAAGAAATTCTTTGGGTACGTTGGTCTGGTTTTCGAGAAAAGATGAGTCGATAGAAGAATCTTGATTGAGTCTTTGATCTTCAATCTCAAGGGTAGAGGAAAGGAGATGCGTAGAGGCAGAGGCAGTTGACTCCATTAGGAAAACAAGAAAAGGAGTTGAGTTGCGTACGTAGGACAAGATGGTGGGAGTTATTATATATAGCATATTCAAGACGGGTTAAGCTTAAGAGACGAAATCCAAAGCAAACAAACTAGAACGATCTAGACGTAATGAGTCACTCTCACTTGGTTTGTATTTGAATTGATAGAGACTAGAAAATTGAGCCAAACCGTTAGTAACCTCTCCGGGGCTTCTACTTTCCCTCTCTAAAAATTTGGATTTAATCCCTTTCACTTTTTTCCCCTTTGTTTAAGAAATTTAGTAAGTATAAAATTTATTTTAAAATATGAAGCTGATTTTTTTTTTCTGTGCACTATTGACTCATTTCTTAACAATATTTAAAGTTTAGGTTTATTGCGCTTGAAGTAATAAACACAACAACGTAGAAGCAATATATTGCAATAAACCCATAGTAATTGATAACAATCAACAATCAACAATGTAGAAAAAAAAAAAAGCATACCAAGATTTATGTGAAAAACCTTCCAGTGTAAAGGAAAAAAATCATAGATCACCAAAAAAAATCTCCACTATCAAATAATGGATATACAAAGTTCTTTTTTAGCTAAAATTAGAACTAATCAACAATTAGAGAGACAATTGGAGAAATCTCACCAAATAGGTGACTAAATAAATATACCCTAGATTTGCTTCGAGAGAGCTTCAAACCCTATCTGCATATTCAGAATGTAGAACTCTAAATCATAAATCTGCTGATAAAATTTTAGCTCAATCGAACCACGGATCGACTTTCGTTCAACCTACCCTTTCTTCTCCCTTTCTCTCTTTATTTTCTTGGCTTTTTTTTTTTCTCCTTTCTTTTTCTAGGTTTACGACTCCATCTTCTTTTATTAAGCAGCTAGGGTTCTGCGTAAAAAGAAAAACTAAGGCCCATGGCCTTTGATTGGTCCAAACCCAACTATATAGGCCTAACCCTACTTTTCTAACAATCTCCCCCTCCAGTTCCATTAGGAGAAAATTCATCACCATAGCAATTTTATTTAGAATTTACCTTGGCCAAAGAAATCATTTCAGTCAAGTTATTGTAGAGTTCAAACTTTTCCCTAGAAAGTTTCTTAGTCAACATATCTACTACATTCTCATCAGTATGAACTTTCTTCAATAGCATTTGCTATTCTTCAATCACTGAACATAACTAGTGATATCTAATATCAATGTGCTTTGTTCTAGCATGGTACATAGCATTCTTAATCAAATCTAAAGCACTCTGACTATCACAAAACACTACATACTCTTTTTTATTCAACTCCAATTCAAGAAAGAAACATTTCATCAAAAACATTTCTTTACCTACTTTGATTGCTACAATATACTCAGTTTCTGTAGTTGACAAAGCAAAAGACTTCTATAACTTAGACTACCAAGACATAGCTCCTCCTGTAAAAGTGAACAAATACCCTAAAAGTAAATTTTTTACCATCAAGATCAACTGTTATGTTAGCATCAGTAAACCCTTTTAGAATTGGTTGTGAAACTCCATAACTCAAGCATATTTTTGAAGTATCCCTTAAATATCTAAAAGTTCATTTTAGTGCTTCCTAATGAACATTTCCTGAATTAGAAAGAAATTTGCTCACTACACCAACTGCACGAGTAATGTTAGGCCATGTCCAAACGATAAGATACATTAAATAACCAACTACAAAAGAATAAGGAATACTAGACATAGCTAGTTACTCTTCCTTAATCACCAGACAAGATTTTTTACTCAAATGAAAATGGTTGGCAAGTGGACTGCTAATTGATTTAGCATATTGCATGTTAAATCTACTAAGCACTCGTTCAATATACTTTTCCTGTGACAACCACAGCTTTCTAGTTTCCTATCCTGGATAATATCCATACCGAGAATCTACTTTGCTGGACCTAAATCTTTCATGTTAAAGGACTTAGATAATTGTTCTTTAAACCTACAAATTATACCAGTATATTGTCCCACAATCAATATATCATCAATATATAATAAAAGAATAATGAAGTTACCATCAAAGAATTTTCTAACATATACATAAAGATCCACTGCCATTTTTTTATAGTTATGGCTCACCATAAAAGAATCAAACTTTTTGTACCACTATCACAGAGCTTGTTTCAAGCCATAAAAGCTTTTCTTTAGTTTGTAAGCTAAATGCTCTTTCCTTTTCACTTCAAAGCTCTTAGGTTGATTCATATAAATGTCTTCCTACAAGTCACCATATAAGAATGTAACATTGCCATCAAGTTGCTCAAGCTTAAAATTCAAACTAGCTATTAATCCTAGTACCACTCGAATGGAACTTATCTCCATGATTGGAGAGAAGATCTCATCAAAATTGATGCCTAGTTTATGAGAAAAACCTTTCACCACCAATCTAGTTTTGTACCTCACTAGCTTATCACCATTTTTTTTAACTTAAACACCTATTTATTTTTAAATGGACTCGTTCCTTTTGAAAATTTAACAAGATCATATGTACCATATTTTCACAATGACTCCATCTTTTTTTTCATTACTTTTAACCAGTGCTCTCTATTTTGAGTAGTCTGCACATCTTGAAAGATCTCTGGCTCTCTTTCACTGATAACTAAAATAAAATCTAAACTTGGATACATGACAGATAACTTATGCTCTTTAGTAGATCTCCTAACTTGAAACTCTACACCACCCGATATCAAAGGTAGCTTCCTTTGTTCAACACTCTCAGGAAAAGAGAATTGCTTTTCCTGTTCAAAACTGATTACATCTGGTTCATTACTAACTGCGGTTGGCTCTTTCATATCCCCAAGTTCTGTTTTTTATTCATTTTCATCATCTGTGGCTCTTTTCTATAAAACCCTTGTCGGTGTTAAAATATTATATTCAATAGTAACCTGTGTAGTCTTCTCATTTTCTCGAGGTCTGTTATGGTTTTTTTTCATAGAAGATCACATCTCTACTTTTGACTATCTTTCTCTTCACTAGATCAATTACCCTATAGTCAAATTTCTCATCACCATATCCTACAAATACATATTGTGTGGCTTTTCTGTCAAGCTTTGACCTCTGTTTTTTTTACACATATATGAATACTTTACACCTAAAAACTTTCAATTAAGAGTATGAAGCATTTTTCCTTGTTCACACTCTTTCTGGAATGTTAAAGCCTAAAGGAACTGATGGTGATTTGTTAAGCTAATAACAAGCTATGTTGACTACTTCACCTCAGAATGGCTTTGGTAATTTTACCATCCTCAACATACATTTGACTTTTTTCACAATGGTGTGGTTCATCTTTTTAGCTACACCATTATGCTGGGTGTTTCAGGTTCTGTCATCTCATGCCTAATCCCATACTTTAAACAGTACTCTTCAAAGTCTTTAAATGTGTATTCCCTACTATTATCAGTCCAAATACACTTCAAGGGTGGCTCTATCATCCTTTTCACTATGGCATGAAATTTTTAAAAATACTGTAATATCTAACTTTTATTTTTCAACATACACACTCAAGTCTTATGTGAAGCATCATCAATAAAAGTGACAAAATACTTGTTGTCCTTTAATGACTCAACCTCAATAGGACCACATACGTCAAAATAAATCAGTTTTAATCTATTTTATTTTCTTTAAAAACTCTTACGAAAAGAAACTCCATGATGTTTACCAAACAAATAATGATCACAAGAATCGAGAAACTGCCTTGCCAAAACTTTTAACCTTTTTTCACTCATATGTGCTAGCTTCTTATGCCACAAGTTTGTTGAAGCAACATCCTTAACGATATTTATCTAGTTGCCTTTCAATTGCATCCATGTCTTATACATTGTGTAGCATAATTTTCCCTTTACAATAATCATAGATCCTTTGAGAAGCTTCCACTGCCCATTCTTTTGTCGACTCTTATATCATTCCTTATCAAAAACATTAATAGCAAGTAAATTTATTCTTATATTTAAAATGTGTTTAACATCCCTCAAAATCAACATGCAGTCCATACTAGTTTGTACAACAATATCACCAATCTTAACCATCTATGACACACTCTTGTTTTCTATTTTGATGCAACCAAAGTCTCCTACTTTGTAAATTGTAAACAACTTCCTCTTAAGAACACAATGATATGCCACTTCTATGTCAACTATCCACTTAATGTCGAACTCACCAACATGATTACAATCACCATGTGTACAAATTCAAGTAACTAAATCACTATATGAATTCACTGCTACAACATTACCACCATCTGAACTATTATCTTTCTTATCTTTTTACTCTTATTTCAAGATTTTTTAATGTCATTTTATATGACCTACTTTACCATAATAGAAGCACTTTACTTTATTTTTGGACTTAGATCTATGTTTAAACTTATTATGACCTTTTGAGTTCTAACCTTTGTCGATTTTCTACCCTTATTCTCTATGACCAGAGCTTGATTTTCAAGGTCTAAATCTTTTTACCTTGCTTCTTCATTAAGAATACTATCCTTTATCATCTCTAATGTCACTTAGCAATCAGGAGCTAAATTAAGAACAATCACAACTAGAGTATTCTAATTGTCTGGCAATGAACCCAAAAGAAATAATGCATTTATTTCATCATCCATCTTAAACTCTATAGTAGTCATCAAATTAAATATATCTTAAAAATTACTCAAGTGCTTTATAATTGATCATCCATCCTGTACTGTAAAGTTGAAAGCTTTTTAACAAGCATTACTTTATTCATACATATTTTCTCTTATATAATGCTGCTAATTTTTTTCAAACAATAGGGGCATCTATCTCTTACGCTACATGATGAAACACACTGATATCAACCCATTTTCTAAATGTAGCCAGTGTTTTTTTATCTAACTTCTTCCAACTTTCATCTTTCATATCTGTTGGTTTAACCGAATCATCCGATATTGGCTCATACAAATCTTTATAGCATAAATGGTTTTTCATTGTAGGCTTCTAAATTAAATAATTTAATGCTGTCAATTTTATCATGA